TGCATGTGTGTTGTTGCTGCCTGTGTTTGAGTAATTTCTGTAACTGTGAGACATCTGCTGCTGCCTATCTTGGCCAGGTCTCCCTTGAAAAAGAGGTTTTTAATCTCAATGGGATCTTCCTGGTTAATAAATAATAAAGGTTAATAAATAAATAAATAAATAAATAAATAAAAGAAAGCTAAACTAAGATAGCAAAGCAGCTCCAGTGAATATGTTCATGTTTTTATTGTTTTTCAATAGGCGTATTTATACATCTATTCATCATTTAGTTGCACTTAAGTAAGGTTTAAGAATCTAAAGTGAAGCTAAGATACACAAATGATTTTTTAAATAGCTCCCATAAAGCTTGGTTATGCTGATCATAAGAAATTTGTTTGTTTGATATTTGTTAGTTTTTTTGTTTCCTTTCTTGCATATAGCATTCTGCTAATGCATGCCCAATTTTCAATTAAGGACTTCAAACAGAAAAAGAGTCCTTTGGTGGCACACATTTACCAATAATAACTAGACGTCAAAACCTAAAATGAAAACTGGTTTTGGTGGTTTTATTCGTAAAATCAAAATGGTTCCCTTCCTCAAAACCAGCATTTTTGGACTACAGCACTTCAGGGGATCTTTCATTCTGGACTTTCTTATGTGCAACTCCAATGAAATCAAAGTACAGAGAGTGTGAGTTCTTGATACTGCAAGAGTTCTTTGTATAAATTAAATCATGCTAAGCTATGATGACTAAAGCATCTGGAGAAGTCTAAGTATATTTCACAAGCTAAACCAAACCACATCTAAAATGCATGATGAATCAGGGTCATATAAATATTACGCCTACAAGATAGATTACTGGAAAGTAGGCTACCTAACGGCAATGACTTTCAGGAAGCACTGACCTAATTTATCTGACAATTAGTTCAACAGTTCACCAGTTTAAGTTCAACATAAAATTTCCCATGTCATACATAGCAGATAATCTTATTTCACAGAATCAACAGAAATCTTCTAGAAGGTTTCCTCGTGCACAGTCAGTATATAATGATGTTGCTGACAGTGCTATGGTACCCTTTGAAGTTTCATGTGTGTACCCAGCTGGGGAGAGTAACGTGTTTCCTGGTATGTGTAGTTTTGTGGGCACATGAAAGCTTCTTTACAGCCACGTGTTGATCAGCTCAGGAGAAATGGTTTTTGATTAAAAGCTTCCATGGATGGCTGGGTCCTTCACTGTGTGCTCACCTTGGAAGTAGAATAGAGGAATTTCTCATTGCTATGGGAATGTCCACTGTAAATAAGAAGCATGACAGAAAATGGATTTTTATTTAAATTTTATGTTTTGCACTGATGAATAGCTGATGCATCAAATGTTTAGCCACCAATGCTTATTAGATTTCTAGCTAATAGTTTGGGATTAGGAGTGATTGGGTCTAGCACATTTCCCCAGTATGAAATATTAATCTCTCTTTTGTTCTGATGAGGGAGTTAAAGAATTTCTTGCGATGTGTTGGTGATTTCAGTCCTCATCTAAATTCCCAAAACATGAAGTTATCTGGTTCCAATTATTTTTTCCTCATGCAAGCTGATTTTCTGGAAATGTGATCTCCAAACATCACTGAATGGAAAGAGGATAATTTAGTAAACATTCCAAAAGCACATTCAGTCCATATGCCATGCAATATGAATAGATTTGAACCCACATATAGAAATTTGGTCAGGTTGTTTTCATTTCATTTTTATGGCTTTTTAAAAAATGGTATAAATCTACAGTCCTAAAGTAAACAAGATGAAAGTACTTTAGAGTCTGGAAAAGGTGATTTGGAAACATGATTCACTTTAGAATTGACTGACAGCGCTCACGAACTTGGACGTTTTGAATGCATTTCAAAATATAAATGTAATGTAATGAATGTAATGTTTAAATGAAACCACATGGCAATCCTGGATTTTTTGCCTTTAATCAAATCGTCACAACAATGAATAAACTTATGTAAATACCCCAAAGCCACAACCCCAAATTAAGGCTTTAAACAGTGTCGTAATTGTTTTTGTAAAAGCCTGACAATACAAGTGCAGCCAAGTCTAGACAACCTTCACCAATAAAACACAAGAACATCTGACTTTTTTTTTTTTTTTACACAGAACAAGATCAAATAAATAGACCTAAAATGCCCAGAATGAACCAGCAAGAGGGTCCGTGGATACAAAAATGCTGTTGTAGTCTGAAGAATATTCATTGTTGTTGGCTGGAGTTAGTGCCTGTGAAATCAAAGCTATTTCAGGGTGATTTACAGGCTGTAAGTGTCACATTTTGTGTGAAGGCTGACACTGAAGGAGATGGATTGTTTGTCTGAATCAGTTTCATTGGATGTGAGGAGTATGACTGATGCTTCAATCAGTGTTTTTATTGTTGCTATATTGCTTCAGTACTTTGAGCTGTGCAGCTGATAAAGTGTGTAACTAAAAATCAGCAAAATGTTTTCCACATCATATCACTGCCATTCCTTTTCCCTGAAACCAAAACAGGAAAACATCAGAGTAAGCACGGCAAGAAGGTAAATCATGGTTTATATGGAAGGCCAGTCCTGGCAGAAAAAATAGGTTTTTGCTCTTTAACTAAGTTTCCTTAAGCTGACTAACCACAGCAATAAATAAATATGAATCATTCTTCAGTCACAGTTACAGAATGGGACAAAAACAAGTCAACAATAAATGTGAAAAATCAACAGCTCGTGCACCGCAACCCCATTGTTACCTATCATACACTCACTCTTCACATGTCGCTAGTCATATGATCCGGTTATAGTGTCCAATCAGAACAATAAATCAACCTTTCGTGAACAAAGCAATATGGGACTATATACACTGAACAAAAATATAAACGCAACACCTTTGTTACTGCTCCCATTCCCCATGGGATGGACGTAGAGACCTAAAATTCATTCCAGATACACAATATAACCATCCCTCCCAAACAGTGGTCACAAATCAGTCCAAATGTGTGGTAGTGGGCACATCTGCTATAATGAGATAATCCATCACACCTCACAGGTGTGCCACATCAGGATGCTGATCTGACATCATGAGTAGTGCACAGGTGTACCTCAGACTGCCCACAACAAAAGGCCACCCTGGAATGTGCAGGTTTTTGCGCTATTGGGGGTCTGGGGACCCAGAACCGGTCAGTATCTGGTGTGACCACCATTTGCCTCATGCAGTGCAACACATCGTCGCATGGAGTCTATCAGATTGTCAATTGTGGCCTGTGGAATGTTGGTCCACTCCACTTCAATGGCTGTGCGAGGTTGTTGGATATTCGTGGGAACTGGTACACGCTGTCGTATACGCCGGTCAAGCACATCCCGAACATGCTCAATGGGTGACATGTCCGGTGAGTATGCTGGCCATGCAAGAACTGGGACATTCTCAGCTGCCATCTGCCCTGAACAATGTGAACCATGATTCATCCGTGAAGCGCACACCTCTCCAACGTGCCAGACGCCATCGAATGTGAGCATTTGCCCACACAAGTCTGTTACGGCGACGAGCTGGAGTCAGGTCAAAACCCCGATGAGGACGACGGGCATGCAGTTGAGCGTCCCTGAGACAGTTTGTGCAGAAATTGTTTGGTTGTGCAAACCAATTGTTCCAGCAGCTGTCTGGGTGGCTGGTCTCAGACGATCTTGGAGGTGAACCTGCTGGATGTGGAGGTCCTGGGCTGGTGTGGTTACACGAGGTCTGCGGTGGTGAGGCCGGTTGGATGTGCTGCCATATTCTCTGAAACGCCTGTGGAGACGGCTTATGGTTGAGAAATGAACATTCAATGCACGGGCGACAGATCTGGTTGACATTCCTGCTGTCAGCATGCCAATTGCACACTCCCTCATTGCTTGTGGCATCTGTGGCATTTTGCTGTGAGACAAAACTGCACATTCCAGGGTGGCCTTTTGTTGTGGGCAGTCTGAGGTACACCTGTGCACTACTCATGATGTCAGATCAGCATCCTGATGTGGCACACCTGTGAGGTGGGATGGATTATCTCAATATAGCAGATGTGCCCACTACCACACATTTGGACTGATTTGTGACCACTGTTTGGGAGGGATGGTTATATTGTGTATCTGGAATGAATTTTAGGTCTCTACGTCCATCCCATGGGGAATGGGAGCAGTAACAAAAGTGTTGCGTTTATATTTTTGTTCAGTGTAGAACTATGTATACTGTATGAAGAGAAAGGAAATAAACCTGTTTTGTATGGACAGAAACAGATATGTTTATTAATGATATAACCCCCCCCCCCCCCCCCCCCCCCCCCCCCCAATCTATTATTTTAATTTATATGGCACTGATGTTCCCTCAAAGTTAGTTTCTCTTGTAGATATACATTCTGTAAATGGTATTCACAGCAAAAGCTTTACAAATATCAGCTACAATGTGTTAAAATATAAAACTGTAGTTTTGAGTTTTCTTCACAATTTTCAAAGCATTATCACTTATCATTATTATGATACTTATCATTATTATGATAAGTATCCTAATAAGAGATTTTCACTCAACATTATCACAGGTTTTGTGTCATTTATCTTTAAAAATATATTTTCAGTACCATGTAACTCGTTGAGTTTGCTTCTTGTAATTCTATATTTTCTTATATTGACTATTTCTTGGCAAACAAGCATAACTGGCTTCCATACCATTATACCATTACCCAATGAAAAATAGCACTAAAATCCATAGATGAAAGCAAGTGCACAGTTAAAATGTTAAGAGAAGGACCGCCACAATAGGTTTAGTCAGTCATGACCTTTGAGCAAGCTCTGCATAGGAGGGGGCAGAGACAGAGAGGAGAAATGGGTCCAAGAGAGGAATGAAAGAAGGAAAACAGACAGACTGAGGGGGAAAAAGAGAGAGCGAGAGAAAACAGAAAAATGAGAGGTGCGTGTGAGAGAGAGAGAGAGCGCAAAAGAGCTCCTGGCAGAGAGACAGAGACCAAAGAGGAGGGTGCTTGTTTTCCCCACTCTCCTCTGCCTCTGGTTTTAAAATGTGAAACAGCTCTTTGAAGAGAAAGAGAGGGGAGGGCAATCATGTACTTCCACTCTGCTTCAACGATAAGGAGTGTTTAGTGAGCTGAGGCTAACCTAAATACCAAACGCAACACAGAACTGCAGCTAGAGATACAGCTGAGGACCTGACACAACACAGGCATGAACGACATCAAGCTGGCCCTACTGGGAAGCCAGGGGGCTGGGAAATCAGGTAAGTACTTGAGAGTGATTTAGTGATCTATAAGGGAGAAAAAGTGTCTCTTTATACTTGTATCTCAATAAAAACTGTAAAAACTGTCAAGACTGTTGACAAGGAAGTTATGATGCCTTAACTTCAAACCACCTCATTTAACTTGCTTATTTTGCTTATTACCTGAATTTAAACACATGTCTCTGCTAATGTAGTAGTTTGGCGTGTTTTATCATCATTTAATTTTTTAATCAATTGGTCAACAAATGTCATCAAGTTCTTAATTTTATGGTTATATGCTACATTGTGTTGTTTTTGCTTAGCTATCAGTCAAAAACTCAGTTTACAGTACAGTGCATAAGATAACTGGTAAATCAGAGTTGGTATTTGTTCTTGAAAAACTGATAATTAAATATTATCAAAATTGTTGCTAACTAAAATTAAAAACAATAAAATGATAAAGTGACAAATTGTGGCTGATTTAACATGTTTGAATTTCCCCTCTCAGACATTCAGTGTCTCAGTTATATTAAATTTAGGGCTAAAGATTTTGTAATTATTATAGAACATACACAATGTAGCTTAACACACTTTTCTGAGGTGAGCTAAAGATTTTAAAGAATGTGACTCACGGCTCTATCTCAGTACGATCCTGCTCTGCATAGTTTGGGCGAACTTATCATGGTCTTCATCAAAAGAGACGCTGGACAGAATTATGTGCATAAATACTTTAGAGAGGTTATTACATATGTGCTCTAAACAGTAATGCAGATGTGTAAAACAACAAAAGCTCTCCATCATATAATGATTTAACAGCTATTTAGTTCAATTCGGGTGTCTTTATATTGCACCAAACCATAACAACTGTTGTGTCGAGGTACTTTATAATGTAAAGAGCTGACAGTATTCTGAAGAAAACCTCAACAAGCAAGCAAACTCCTTTGAGCAAGATTTTGGCAACAGTGGAAAGGAAAAGCTCCCTTTTAACAGGAAGAAAACTCGGCAAAAAACAGGCTCAGGGAGGCGCTGCAATCTTCTGCGATCTGAAAAGAAGTTTTGGTGGTTTTTTGTTGTTGTTTCTAACTTTCCAGTCAAACATGATGATACTGCTGAGACTGTGAACTATCTGAGATCTGTCTATTTTTTCTTCTACCAAAGGAAAGTGTAATTTCTGGATAGATCTCTTGATTGCAATATGGTAACACTTGAAAACATGTCACTTTAACCACAAAACAAGTTTTGTTTAAAATTTTTGAGGGCGTACTTTTTAACTAGCCAGCCATGGAGCATGAGAGCTGATTTTTGATTCAATTCAGTTTTATCTATACAGCTCCAAATCACAACAAAAGTAACCTCAAGGCGCTTTGGTAGACCCTACAATAATGCATACAGAGAAAAACCCAACAATCATATGATCCCCTATGAGCAAGCACTTTGGTGACAGCGGGAAGGAAAAACTCCCTTTTAACAGGAAGAAACCTCCGGCAGAACCAGGCTCAGGGAGGGGCGGAGCCATCTGCCGCAACCGGTTGGGGAGAGAGAAGGAAGACAGATTTTTGTTCTTGTAAACTTTGACAAGAAAAGGTGATTGAAAAGTGTGATTAACTATGAATATTCCCACAGAGCCCAACCACAATCAATTCACAGAGTGGAAAAATCTCTTCTTAGTGTTTCTTGACACTTCTACAGGCTACAGCTAAAACTTAAATCAGAGCTAAGCAAATCACCAGGGTACCACCAGGTTTATGCTGGGTTCATGTCATACCCTTAATGAAAACAGCAGAAATGACTGGGTGCGTGACTATTATGGTGCAAGTACAGCTCATTCAGAAACACAGTAAACAAAACATAAACATTAGGTTGAATGATAGCAGAAATTAATATTAATTAATTGCATGTCACTTTTTTTGGCATGCGATTTTAACTGTTATTTGCCGTCCAGGAAGAGTGGCCTTGAGAAATGAAAAGTAATTATTTTTAGCAGTGAACACTTCCAAGTTTGAATAAACATGTTTCTCTTTTCTTCCAGCATTGTGTGAGCTCTGGTTTTGCATTACATAACCAAAGACAACAGTGGATTATTGGCTCCATTCACTGAGGTTTAACTAAACTAATAAGACCATTTCTCCCTCCAGAGATTATCTGCCTTTGTTTTAAAACTCCTCAGTCACAGGGCTTAGTTCAAGGCTGGACAGAGGAAAGCACAACATGTTTTATCAATAAGTCAATCGGCCTGCTGCTCCACCTGTGGTGTTGTTTAGAGTGTAATTTGATCTTGGCTTTCACTGACTTTGATGTGTCGCAGTGATAGTTTGTTATCTTGTTTTTTTGCTTGTTTTTTTCTGTGTCTATTTTAAGTTTCATGTGTCCATATTGGGTCATTTAGTATTTTTTATGGGTTCTTCGGAGAACCAGTTCATGCAACCATACTTCAGTTCTCCTGTTTGGACACACTTCAGATTGGATTTTTAAGCTCTTGTTAAAAATGCTGTCTAGGAGAAAGCATTACTTATGATTCTGCTTCTGTCTGTGAGAGGGTGGTTCAGACTGTACTGTACAAACCTTTTAAAACAATGGGACATGGCCATTCTTGGTGCTTGGCAGTGAAGCAGAGCCGTTACCTTGGTGATGCTGTAGCTTATGGAAGCTGTATGTGGGTGCTTGAGTTCATTCGACATGTTTTTCTGCTCCCTTCTGCTCTATTTGTTGCTTTCAACACGTCTTTTATCGTTGAATGTATCTTTATGTGACAATGGAACCAGGACAATTCCTATTGTGTTAAGTCCTAAGTGTTGAATGTCCACATCCATGTTTGTGTGTCACCGTGTCCTAACCTCTGTACAACCCCTCAAGAGGCCCACTATTAGGAGCAAGCTTCCAGAGTTCAGCACTTGAAACTTCAGCCTTTAATTGAAATTGATTGTCTTGTGGGACCAAAACTGGCCCAGTCAGTCAGTTTTATGTGTAGCTTGCAGTGTAGAGGCAAAGCACAGGCTGGGGGGGATTTAACTATTCAGCTTGCCAAATATGCACACAGACCTTCCAGGAAAGCCGTGCAGCATTCTTTTATGTGGGGCTTCAGTTTCATCGCTCCAATCCTGGAGACATTTAACACGGTGTTGTGCCTGCTGGGGTGAACAAGGCTCCCCCACCCCCTTCTTCACTGAGAGGGATGAGTGTGTAATGATGCCATGATTCATTTTATTGTTTTCCATTTCATCTCCTTTCTCCAGCTGTCCTCGTGCGCTTCCTGACCAGACGCTTTATTGGTGAATATGCCTCAAATACCAGTAAGTGTTTCCAGATTTCATATAATGGCACTTTGATGAGGTTTTGGTCTAGAAGATTGCTCTCATCCACTTAGAGATGCAACATTTTCACCTGTGCATTCATGGACAAGGAAAATATTGTTCTTTTGGGTAATAAAAATTTTGCAGGCAGGTAATGTAGACAATCCTCTCGTGTAGCTGTTTTGACACAGCTTCCAGTGTTTTAGCTCAACATTTCTGATAGTATAGTTGGATATCTAATGGATTTGTATTTTTATACTATTTTCTATTTGTATTTATCATAAAGATGCTGTTATCCTATATCCTTTAATGTAATGATGTAATTGTGGTTTTCACTGTTTTCATTACCACTTTAGGCATTGATGCTTCTAGCTCTGTTAGCCGTGATTACAAGTCATGAAGTGAATAGACATGGAAAGTTAAAATAAATAACAATAAAGTCAAAATATATACTTGTGTATGTATGTCTGACCCATCACAACTTTTTAATTATGCTTGATACACTAGCAGTCCAGTTCCTGTAAAACAACAACAACAAAAACAAACTTTGTAGTAAAAGTAGATTCGTGACAAATTCATGGTAGGTAATGTTAATACCTGGTAATAGATTTGTGTCTTGAAAGTCTTACTAAAAACTGATGAAAGTCCCAAACACCACATTTTTGACATGTTCCATGTGTAATTTTGACATCCATCAATAATATAATATAATAGTTATTTATGCATTTTGTATCTCCTCCACAGACTCTTTGTACCACAAAAGACTGTCGATCGATGGCAGGCAGCTGAATTTGGAGGTTTTTGACCCCTGCTCTCAGGTAAGACTCTTGTTTTTAGTATTAACAGAAATATATTAGAAAAGCAGAGCTGCAGCAGGACCACCAACTTTTCCCGTTGTTCTTCTAACATTTCATCTGGAGGACCACCGACAAACCACTGACAGGAAACAAACCGAAAAAATGAAAATCTGACACTGATGAGAATAATGCCTTTTCAAGAAAATTCACCTAAACTACTCATAAAGAAAGTCAATTTTTACATTCTTGAGTAATTTTGTTTGACTGTCGGGCCATAACCAAAATTTGGTTTGCCTTCATCTATCTATCATCTATCTATCAAAACAGTGGTTTGTTTTCAGGCTGCTGGAGAGCTGCCTGTGGCTTAGCTGTGGTTATGTGTTCACTTAGAGTTAGCAAGTGTGGGAATATAAGGATTTATGAGAGTATCCTGAGGAGATGAATGTCCCTTTGAAAAAAAGGGGAGCCATATAAACCTCTTACTTCTCATTCAACAAAACTAAAGACCTGAGAGGGACTTTACTACAATGTTAGTGTTTTATTGGAGTACCCTGGCTCAGGAGAACAAAAACCAGTCATTGTCTTTGTCATTTAGACCCCCTGTAATATTGCTGTCCCATAAGGAACACAGAGTCACAATCCAGCCCTTCTGACCCAGACTGCATTAAAAGAAGTCAGTAAAGACAAAAGGTTTAAAATTGGGTTTTATAGCACTCAGGTGTGTCCCCAGGCCTCAAGCCCTTCTTACACTGTTTATGTCAAGGTCACAAGCGCTTGTAGGGTCACTCTGAATTTATTTACTGGTGTCACTGATATTGTTAAGGCACCACTTTGAAATGCTTTCTGGTATTAGTGACTTTCAGCTGCTCACTTGTCACAGAGGGTTGCCACAGCAGCTCTGTGAGTTTCCTTTGGCAGGGTTTTACACCAGATGCATTTTCTGACACTTTCCAAAAGGGATTTGTATCTCTGGATGGAACTGAACCAGCAACCCTCCGCTTGCTGAGCAAATTTGTAAACCAATACGCTATGGATCCATAAAAGGAAAGTGTTTCAATATTACAGGTATGAAAACTAACTGTAAGATGCTTGATTAGCAAAAAGAGCAATAAAATCAAATCTGTATAATCAATGGGAAGACAGTAATGCCAATGTGCATTTGTCAAAAAAGTATAAAAGCAACTCAGTTTTGCTCAAAACAGGGAAATAAAAATACAAATACAAGGTGTTTTCAGCATTGGAACACATCTATAGAAATAATAATGGTATCCAGCTATATTATTATAATACCATCCATAGAAAGTGACACAGTGTAAAGGATACAGGCTCCAACTCTTTTTTCTTGCTCCATAGGAAAAGCAACCCAGTTGGCACGTTGATTTGGGACAAACTGGATGATACCAACATAAAAGCACATGCTCTTCTTGGCAGGGTTCGGAGGCCAGGTGTATACTTGAAGAGCCAGTGGACTGGGCAGATGGCTTTGTGGTGGTGTACAACATCAGTGACCGCACTTCCTTCATCAATGCCAAAAACATCCTGCGGCAGATTCGGGAGACACGCATGGAGAACTGCAAAGGGTCAGCAGAAACTTAATAACAGATGCTGCTGACATATAATGGATGTTTGGATTGGTTGTTATTTAACAGTAATTCTGGGTGCTACAACAATGCCTGTTTTGAAATGGAGGCAAAATCCTACATTCAATTCTACAATTTCAAATGTCAGATGAAATCCTCGTGCAAAGAATCAGTAATCAGAGGTTTAAAGTAAAGTGGCAAGTCCGGAAAATGATGTACACCCACTTGTCCATATATAGTAAAGTGCTATATAAATACAGGCCATATGAACTGAACATGCTGCAAATGCTCCAGGAAAACAACAAAACAGAGTATCTGTGCCCTAGGTTCTTTGTAACTGGACATGAATCTACATGCACTTTTGAATTTGAGGAATGCTGGGAGTCCTGACTGCCCTCCTACAAACTCAAACTCATAAATGATTCATGATTTACCGGGATTGCCAGCGCAGGTGTCTGATAAATTTAAGCGTGAAAAAAACAAACAAACAGGCCATCCACATCTATCAGGCTGCCTGGCAGCATGCCAAGGCATCCTGATAACATGGAGGGAAGAGCTGTGTAGCCTAATGATAGGTATTTGAGAATAAATATAGGTGTAGATCACAAGTGGAACTGTTGGATTGTGTGAATGTAAATCAAGCCCAGCTAGTCGAAACATCTGCTTTACGCTCAGAAAGATAGGATAGGTTGCTTAATAGCCAAAATTGTTGCAATGTTGTTGCAAAAGCACTCAAAAGCTGTAAAATAAAACACATTTGCCTCTGCATCCTCTTCATATTGCTATCCTCAGTCATCTTGCAGGCTGATGGTGTTAACGCCTCCCTGCTGTCTTTTTTTCAGGGAGATGGATGTTCCTGTTTGCCTGGTTGGCAACAAGCAGGACCTCTGCCATGCTCGTCAGGTGCGTGAGGATGAAGGCCGCGGTCTGGCGCAGGAAAACCGCTGTAATTTCCAGGAGGTCTCAGCAGCCGAGAGCTACCAAGACATTGCCAACCTCTTCACACAGCTCATCCGGCAGGTGATGGAGCATCTGAAGTATCGCGCTGACAGACGACGCTACAGCGGCTCAAAGTCTATGGCCAAACTCATCAACAATGTTTTTGGCAAGAGGAGGAAGTCCGTATGATGATCCCAGTACAGTTAGCAGCTAATCGGACACTGAGATGTCCCTGCTGTACGTGGCCCTTAAGGGGATGCAACCTTAATGTGTTGGGTTTGATGTGTGATGTGTTGGTCTATACACTCAACAGAAAACTGTTGAGTGTATAGACAATGATAGAAACAGTGAACCTCTTTATATCATGAGCAACATGAGTGGTTGGTGGAAAAATTCAGACGGCCATAGTTACTAAATTTACAGGCAAATATATATCTTGGCAAAGTTTTGTTTTTCCTTTGGTTATTTTGACTTTGCCTTGGGTATGTTTCTCTGATGAAAGGGCCAAATACAGTGAGGCAGTCAAAAAAAAGCAGGTATGTTAAATAGAGCAACACTATACAGGAGAGGGAAGCATAAAAAGATATTTACTACATACACTTTTTATTCTTTTTCTCTTAATGTGTATTAACTGAACCTTTGGTGAAATGCCTACTTTTTATATTTAAAGGACCTGTGTGTAGTACCAGCACCTAGAGGATAAAGATTGCAACTAACTGAATACCTGTCACTTTCTAAGCACGTAACTAAACCTAATTTGGCCTCCAAAATAGCCTCTCTATAGAAACAGTTCCACTTGTCCATCATGGGCTGCTATAGAAGCATCAATATGAGGAGCTATGTGTAGGAGCACTTGCTCCCTGTATAAATATGCAGAGGTGAAAAAACATGTTTATTGTTAATTATTAGACCATGGGTTTCCAATCACTGACTGTACTTGGTCACACTTTCCAAAAACAGATCGGATCTGGCTGAGAGACTGAAAACAGACGTGGAACGTGAACATATTCCACAGCAATCAGCAGCTCTTGCAAAAATAGTTTAGTTTGTTTTATTTTAGTTGTTTTAACAGTTTTTAATACTTTACATAGCTACGGCTACTTTCTAAGCAAAATTTCTGTCTGATTTATTGGTGTAGTTTAAACGTATGAAAAAAGGTTACCTTAACACTTCTTATCTTATTCCAACAACACAACATGGGAGGCTGATCAGCTGTCTTTTATTTGTCGAAAGCTTGCACTGCATCACCGACTCCTGCATCAGTACAGTGTAGGCCAACAGTGATGACACTGAATGAAACTTTCAACACCATATTGCATGCCTTCATTTTGTGACTGGTTCAGTTAGCTTTACTTTACCAGAGTATTGCCCCTATAGTTCAGCGTTGTGTAGTCTTTTGCTCAGCGTCCTTTTATACTGGTATAATATTTCAGAGACAGTATAATTGATGTATATTCTCATAGTAATGCCACTCTTTGGAAACCATAATGTTTTATTTACTGGATCACTGAACTGTGATTTGTAATACGCATACTGTGTAAATCCTCTGATTGTCTAATACATAATATGGTTTATTTAACAGCTCCTGCTGTATGAACACTTAGTTTAGCTGTGGTCATTATCACTAAAATGCTGAACGTTACATTTAACACAATTTATTTAGTTGAATGGAAAAGTCCAAAGACATGAACAGGGTTAGGTTAACTGGCGATTCTTCTGTGTTAGCTTTGGAGTCTTGAGATCTGTCCAGTGTGCACCCTGCCTCTTCCCCTGTGATAGCAGGGATAGATGTGTGCTTTCTCAGATTCTCAGGTCTTTTTTGGAGATGATGCAGAAGATTATAATACTTAGGGTAGTGATATGTCAAATACAATCAGTGTGTAGTGTGCCTTGGCTTCTCGGTTTGCTTCATTGGCGATGTGTGGTTTAAAAAGACGAAACAACACCAACTTCACAAACCAGCAGCTACATCCATCAGTGTCTGTGCCAAGTGAGAGGCATATACCTATATCAGTGCATGGCTGTGTGGCTGTCTGGCCTTTAACTGACACTCGGACTCTTCCTATGCACCCTTTAGTCTTACTTTATTGTAAAGGTGGAACCTGTATGTCATATGTTGTTGTATCCTGTTTGCTTTTAATGACAGATAAGATAAAATAGTATTTAATTGGACTAGAAAATAATGCATCTATTACAAGGTGATATCAATTTTAATTTAACATTGTTATTGTTGCACATTGTACTCAGCTTCGGTTGTATACTGTATGTATTTTGTATAGATTCAGTATCTTAATCTTGTATTTATTTGAGTTAAAAAAGAAAAGAAGAAAATGCCCTAAAAACTTAACACCATACTGTAGAACTAACACATACCAAATGAGGCCATGAAATTTATTCAACAAAATGCTGTTTTTCTTCTAAAGAAAAACTTCTTCTCAGTTATGTCACCATGATTTTTTACAGAAGGAAAGCACTGTGTATCATGAAAAATATCTTCATCTATGCAGTTTTTTGTTGATGAATGCTCTTTTTTGTAAATGCTGTAAGAACACTGGTTATTCCAGAGGAAATTAAAGTTAAACATTGATGGCTGTTTTAGCTCTTCACGGGGACTGCTGTTTCGCTTTCAGCTTAATTTTAATTAGATGTCCATGAGAGAGGGCATTACTCTAAAGCCTTTAGTAAAAAAAAAGAAAAAAAAAGAAAAGAATTTCCTGTGCTAAAAATAGAAAGACTAGAGGCAGAGCAGTGAGGGGAGAAGCTCCATTGTTATGCTGAATTTTAGCCTCTTAAACAAAGCGACGCTCCCTCACGTTTCCACTAGATGGCAGTACAGATCACGATGACGATCTGGCCTTGAGTTTAATCATTTCCTGCAGATCATTATATGAATGAACCTTTTAAATACAAGCGCGTCCATGCTCACAGGTGTACACACGGGTGCTCACACACACAAACTACACCCTTTTTGGCTCCTACCTCAAAGCACACTGTGCGCTGTCGATCTTACATGCTGCACAATAATGTTTAATATTTAGTATTTACTGTTATATTCCCATATATCATCGTGATGTTGTTTATTATGTTGCTCTTTTTTTCCCTTCTGCTTGTTTTCTCTTTTTTCTTTCTCAACAGGTGATCCGGGTGATTGATATATGTATTTTTTGTCTGTTTATTTTGTTTATTTTTGTTTTTTGCCCTCTTCCCCGCTGTTTTTCTTTCCCTCTTTCTTTCTCCCCTTTCTTTTCCCCAGTCAAGTCTGTCCCGTATTTAGCAAGTGAAAATAAAATAAAATAAACAATAAAAAGTGAATCAAATAGACCATTACAGCAAGGCTGTGATGGTCTATTTGGTAAAGTAAATCCGTTGGGCATCTTTCTTTGCCTTTAGACAATAATTCTGATGGCAAAAGAGCCAAACGGGACAGGCAAAAAATAAAAAGAATAAATAAAAACAATAATTTCTTGCCCAGGGGAGGCGACAAATTTGTACACAAACCAGATCGATAGTTTATTTATTTATTTACTTTTTACAGCAGAAATGTCCTTTTTTTAAAAAAATTGTTAAGGGAGGAAATACACATAGTAATGTAGATGCCATAAATAATAGCTGTATTCCCTTAGTATTCCACTGTGATGTTTTACTACTGAGTGGCAAATTTAAGGAAAACCAATATAAATAGACTTTGTTAGATGTAATTTGTGGTGTCTGAAATTCTTTTCAACATGTGAGGGAAAATCTGAATTCACTTATAGGTGTTTTTCGTTCTGACTGACTCATTTTTTATTGCTCGTGTCTTTAAGTACCACATATGAGTAAGAATGTGTATGCTATGACCCTGAGCTATTCAAAGATGTACGAAAACAAATGCAATTACCCAGATAATACATGAATGGTACCCAGGTACAAGTGTGTACCACTAAATAAGAGGTAGAGATGAGATACAGTGGTATCTGTAATACTTGAAAAATATAAATTAGAAACTGCTTCATTTGCCAATTAATGTTATGTAAGGAATTTGCCTTTGATTTCCTTGACAGAGCCTCTCAAAGAGGACACTGTTAACATTTCTTGTTATGAAGTCAGTCGAATGATTACAAACCCAGAGGAAAGGAACATTTCAAACTCTCTGCTTTTTTCAGCTGTTTTCTTCTAAATGCACCTCAGAGGTTTGGATTGTTTTTGTTCTTCTGACATTCCTTCTTCTCATTTTGGCCCTTCGTAAAAAGAACTAAAATAAGCTGAACGTTGCTGTACAGAACTTTGTCTAAAATGAGCCTTTCTTCAGATAACACCACATTGTTATCCTGAAACTAGACAGGATAATTAGTTTGACCATTACTTTGTCTTTTAATCCTTATTTCTCCAGATTTCAGAGAGCAGGTCAGTATCCAGTTATCTCAGAATAGAAAAATGATTTCTTCCAGAGGAGACAAAGAACAGGCCTTTGTGATGGTCGCAACTTTCAAATGAAATGCTGAGATGTGAGTCAGCATTATATGCAAAGACCACAAAGAGAAGCAAAACATCTGCTGAGTGATGCAAAACAAGGGATCTGGAGACACAAGACAAGCTGAAAAAATAAATAAATAGAGATATAGAATAAGAACCTATACCAAGGGATGCAAAGGGACAAAAGAGTGATGCAAAATGTTCACAAAAGGATGGAAAATGATGACAAAGAGAGTGATAAATACACTGACCTGTAGATCTGTGTCAGCGATGGAGAGGTGAATAATGCTGGAGAATTTGGGTAATAATGCCCCTGTGTAACACGTGGCTTTGAAGCCACCCATCTGGAATTTTCCCATAAACGAATCTTACTTACTTCAAGAAATAATCTAAATAAAAATAAATAATAAAAATAAAAAGGTATTTATTTACTTTACAATCCGTGCCAGGCCAAGAAAACTCACACTACTTATTAGAGCTATATTTTAAATACTCATCATCAGCTCAGCCAAGTAAAATCAGGGCTAAAGCACAGATAGATGAAGATTACATCTGTTAGCGTTTCAGAGTTGAAGTTTGAAGTTTCTGAACAAATAGTTTCCTCTGATTGTTCGGTAACCTTTTGCCTCACCACATCCAAGCAGAGGATATTTGGTGAAGAGCAAACAGAAAGCTGTGCAGCCTCCTCACAGTGTCCGTCATTGCAGCACAGGAGGCAAATGAAAGCCATGTCTCTGCACGAGTCTTTTTGATACAGCTGTTTGGGATCAGTGAACATTTTTCCTCATCAAATATCATTTCGCTCCATTGTGAGGATATTTCCCGGACACGTTTATACTCTTAGATAACCACAGGCATTCTTTTACGCCCAAGAAAGACTGCTCCTCCCCACCCCCTTCCTAAAAAAAAAGAAAGAAAAAGAAATCATTTGACGCACAGGAAGTCATGAATTTTACATTTCGAGCAGCAGCTAAAGCTGTTTGTTTTGAATAAAAAAAAGCAGTGGTAGGCAGAAACAGCTCTCGATGTGGCAGAACAGAAGAGAAAACGAAAACAGCCCCACCTACAGAGACTCGAAGCAAATCTGAGGAAAAACACATCACAGTGCCTCCCACCTGAGTTTGACTGACAGGTAATTTCTGGAGAGAGCAGTGCTGAACACAGTGGACATTAGAGCTTAATAACAACAAAGGTGTCAGAAAAATGCAGATTGAGCAAAAATAAAGTGTAAATGTGCGAAGGTGCAACATCCCTTTCATACAAATTCTAATTTTATTCAATCTTTTCATCTCTCTCCCCTCTCCTCTTCTGACTGTCTCATTTTTTTCTCTTTTTTCCAGAGAAATGAGGAGCGCAGACAAATGGAGACAGAACCTCCAAGCGTGGCCTCGAAGCTTCAGGTCAGTGATCTTATTTGGCCCCTGTGCGGAGGAAGAATTGCTTTTGGCTCGGCCGTGGACAACCATCCGAACCAAGGGGATTGGATGCTGCTGGGACACCCCAAGAGCCAATCAGAAAGGCCATCGATCAGTTCCCCTTAATCTCACAGCTGGTGAGCACATCCCCACTCCAATCTAAAAACCGACAGCTTAGTCAGAGTGACAGGGGATTGGCTGTCTTCCAAAGATTTGAACCTCTAAGGAAACAGATCCACATTAGAACAGAAACAGGTGGTACTTCACTCACCTCTCACCACCAAACTATCTGGCTGGAATAATTGGCTACAGAAATAAATAGAAGTGAAAATGTTTTGTCAGACTGTTCTTTAAAAAACAATTAAAATGCATATTGATGTGGTAGGCTGATATTATTTTTTAGGAGTAAAGCTAGTTATCTTTATTCAGACATGTTTTCTCTTAAGATGTTTATGAAAACAATAATTTAAGTTGATTGAGCAGGACTCAAGGACAATATTTTTCTTCTTTTTCTTTTTTTTGCCATGTACTGTGCACTGTGTGTCAGGCTGAATGAGTGCACACAGTGATTGCTTGATGAATGTATGTGAAGAGCTTGTTTCTAAAACGAGACATCTCCTATCTGAGAGAATAGAGATACAAAAATTTAAGGTTAGCTTTGTTGAAATGAGTCTCCTATTTTCATATCTTTAATGTATGGATAGATAATACGAATGAATGTGACATTTTTATGCATCAAGGACAGAATAATGAAATCCTTTTCACATCATCTGAGTTGTTAATGGTTTATTAAGGTATCCTGCTGTCTCCTCTTACACTAAAATGATGTCCTGCTG